TACACCCGAAGGGCTCTCTACTGTCAAAGAAAAAACCTTCATAGTCTTCACAGCAAATGACGAAATCAATAAACAGATGACATTGACATTGTGGGAAACGCAGTCACTAATGTGAAGCAGACTTTTAATAAATTGGAGGTAGAGGCATAGAAAACTCGTTTAAGGGTAAACAAAGAGAAAACCAAATACATGTGCATCAACAGACAAAAGGGACGAGATAGAATAGGGCAAAATGTTACAATAGACCCATATAACTTAAAAAGAGTGGAGAGTTTTAAATATCTCGGAGCAAGAATCACTGAGATAACGATATCGCGGAAGAGATTAAAGGAAGAATTCAGGTAGCGAACAGATGTATGTATAGCCTCCACAATACTATTAAATCTAAGAGCCTAACGCCAACATCAAAGATTAGAATATATAAAACGGTGATTAGACCGGTGCTCATGTATGGGTGTGAGACGTGGACCCTGATCAAAGAAACTGAAAGAAAACTTAGATGTTTCGAGAGGAAAATCCTCAGAAGAATCTTTTATGTTATCACGACATTAATAACAACCAATACCGAATGAAAACAAATGCTGAGGTCAAGCAGATGTATAGATCGAGCGACATAGTCCAAGAGATTAAATTCCAACGTCTAAGATGGGCTGGTCATGTCCATAGATTCCCTAATAACTGCCTTATCAAGTTAATATGGGAGGAAGCCCCCACAGGAAGAAAGCATTTAGGACGTCCACGAATGCGATGGAGAGACAATATATGGTCAGATCTAAGAACAATGGGAATACCCACTGACTCAACTATTATGGACGACCGTTCAAGATGGAAGCAAGCTGTGCAGTCAACCAAGACCCACCTCGGGTTGTAGTGCTACGAGAAGAAGAAGAATCAGTCTATCTTGTATTATAATTATGTCTATGGTCTAAACTTTCCATTACATAACTACACTTTGACCTTAACGTTGTCAATTGCTTTATAATTAAATTAGTTTCTTTCTTTTATTGCTCTAGTTTATGTGATTAAATAGTTGCACTATTTTTATACTCTAAACAAAAAATATGCATGTGTAATGCACCTCGAGTTTAATTTTATGTTATGGCTAAATAAAATTTTATATCTTATTTACATTTTATACTACTGTTTTTATGTCATGTCTGTTATGAAAAATACTGTATTTACACAAAAATTAAAAAAAAACATGTCATATTTCCAGTGTTGCCATTCTTCGTTTCTGGTAAGACAATATAGGACTTTTTCTCTTCTCTAGAAACCGTTCTACTCGGGTAATACTGCAGCCACTTGGATTATTGGACATCTTCCATTATCGTAAAATTGCTCATGACTTCGGTAGATTCGCTATATATAAGCTCTCCGCCAATAACCGATATATCTTTTATGTGATCCTAATATACCCAGGGTTGTGTCAAGTTGTTGTGTGTATAAATCAAACTTTATAGCAACATTAAGTTCTGCGAAAACTGCCTACTGCATTGAAAGTTAGACTGGGATCATTAAGATCTAATAGCGGCAAGGACATGTTCCGCGACCTGGATCGTCAATCTACCCGTACTTTTATATTTTTATTTGTTGTCCCAGGAGAGTCACTCATTTCTTTTTGTTTTTGCTTTTATTTTGGTCTCGCGACTTGGGAATAAAATGGACAGTGCGTTTTCTTTATGGGAACCTCTTATAAAAATATATCTGCGAACCCCCTGAGTAATCGTTAGTGAGACTAAATAAAACAGTAATAAATGGCTGTAATTAATTAAAATTTATTAATCATATGGATAATAGTTTTATAATTGGAACAGTAAACTAAAACATAACTATAACCTAAAACATTTCGAGCAGGGATGGAGAAACTTTAAATGGATTAAAAAATCATCTGCTAATTGAGGCACTTTTTTCTTTATTTTAGTAATTCCTTTTTTCAATAACTAGACTTTCTTGGGTACTTTTTATCCTAATTATGTGTTTACATGCACTTTATTTATATTACTAACCTAACCTAAAATGTTTGTTTACAAAAAACTGTACGGAAAAAATAGCTGACTCTTTTGTGATGAACAGTCCTATTGATAATTCAAATATTTTTTTGGGTTTTGTGGTGGGTGTAGAATAGTTCGTCGAATTGTGACGTATGATACATAATTGAAACGAACAGGGGTAGCGAATATGTTAAGACAGAAAAAACACACAAGGTGGCATTGCCAAAAGGGCATATCTCCATTTGGTCCGATTGGATGTGTTAAATGAATATAACGAATACGTTAAGATAAAAAAAAAACAAACAAGGCGACTACCAAAAAGGGACTACACAGTAACTTCATTGTTAATGAACGTATAGCGACATGCGAGATCGCATAGGGCACTATGGATAAAAATGGATTTACTATATGACAAATTTTGATTTATTGACTTAAGAAGGCCTCTGGCTAAGCACAAAATAAACAAATGATCGAATCTTACCATGCTACATAGCAAACGAAAGAGGATGATATAACGAACATATGTATTCAGAAAAAAACAAATAAGGCGACTACCAAAAAGGCATCATATTCGGTATGAATGAACGTATAACGACATACGAGATATCACATATATAGTACATATATAATGTACATAGCGTGCCGTCAAAAAATATATACTGTTAGGATATAGTAAAAAATGATCATAAATGTCAGAAGAGTACCAGATCATACTTTATATTTACTTTGTTTACATGCATGAAGTTTATTATTTTAATTTTAATTTAAATAAATTTTGTTTTGTTCGGATAACATATTCTTACATAAACTCATATAAGTTGTTTGACATATTTTTAAAATCACTAGTTATCGTTATCCCACATTCGGAAAGACCATAAGGAACAGCGTATTTGATAACTTTTTAAATCATGTAGGTATATAAATAGATACGTTTTAATTGGCAACAGCGTTTTTCTGTAAAACACTTAGAATTTGAAATACATATATAACATTGTTTCTTGACTCTAATTAAAACTCTGACTAAAATTTATGACGTGACTTGGGATTTGTTCTAATTTAAGTGTATATTAGAATTCGCTCGATATTTAAGTAAATCAATAAAAGTAATCACATCAGAAATGTATAATGAACAAGTCTATTGCTTTGTTAAAAAACTTACTTATTCGTGAATACATATCATTCGATTTGTTGTTCTCTACAAATCAATATACATGAAATATACATGCCATAAAAATTAATCAACCGTTTGTACTATCTTATAGAAGCAAAAATGATTGTCCTTATATTTGTTTGGGCTTCAATCCCATGGATAATTGCTTTACATTTTAAGAATAAAATGATTTTGATTTTAAAGATATGTTTTGCTAAACTTTTAAATTTCATTACATGATTTTTAAGACTACCATTGTTCATGTTTCATCGGCATTTAACAAATGGTAAAATAAGTGTTGTTAAGATTATTGAGAGATGTTTTTTTAAAAATTTACGTTGCACATCATTGTAACATCGGTTTGAGCAATTGTGGAATACGAATAATTCGTTGATATCTCTTAAAGACGTGGTTGATATCAATATGTAACTTACACCTCGACAGGATATATGGTAGGATCATTCTTCTTACCGTTTGTAAACGTTCCGGATGTTAGCGATCAGCACGACGATCCTAACTTTGCTTGCTACTATTCGGAAAAGTCAAATTATAGAAGTATTGAAACACTTCTTTTTCTAAGTTTTGAAGCCAAAATATTCTTCTCTCTGGAATGAATTGCAACCAGTCCATCTCTGTTATTTCTCATAACATGACAAAAAAAAACAAAAATTTCTTTTTTTTTTAAATATAAACATTTTTTATGGAAAACGATATTTCGTAGAGTGTATTAACTCCACGAGCACTAGAGGGGCTCTCATTCGATCAGGCATACTTCGGATTATGGCAGCAAAGTCTGCTTGAGGGATTTGCTTCCATTCGTCACGAACTGCTTGCTCCAAATCATTCATGGTTTCATCAAACTCACCATGGTTATGTCGAATACGTCCCCCCAGAATATCCTATGTATGCTCTATTGGATTTATGTCTGCACTGGGGGCCATGGTAATAAACGAATCCCAACTTCATCCAAGTAATCCGGTGTTATTCTTGCGATGTGCGGACGAGCATTCTCTCGCATAAGACGAAAGTTTCATTCGACAAATGGGGCAAATGGCACCACATGATCTTCCAAAAATTGCTGAATATACCGTTGAGCGTTCAAATTGCCCCCTTGAATTGTAACAAGTTTTGTATGAGCCTCTAGGGAAATGCCTGCCCACACCATTATACCACCTCCACCATATTGAACTTATGGAGTAAATCTTCTCCGTATGCTAGGCTTGATGTCATCAGTCCATCTGTTTGAGGTCTGCCATTACTGCTCTTGTTTGCTTTTGGTCGCCATTCAATAATTCGCTTCGTCTAACGGTTGTCTTCCATTCTTCCTATGTGTCCTGCCCAGTTCCACCTTAACATGGCAATCTTTTGGCGCAGAGTGTTAAAAGCCAGAAAAAGTAAAAATATTCCTTTGAAATGAACTAGCTCAGATGTTTCAAGAAGTTTCAAGAATTCAGAGAATTAGAAATAATAGATGGGTTGCACATATGAGTCCATTTCAATTTAGGAAAACAAATAAATAATATACTTACAATCAATTTATTCTACCTTGTGCGACCGGTTTCGCATACTATAAATTGCAATCCATCTTCAGGTTTCCGGAAAGGTAAACGCATCAAGTTACCTGTCCGGAGACCTGACGATGCATAGTAAATTATAGTATGTGAAGTCGTTCCTTCAAGGCAGAATAAATTTATTGTAAGTATATTATTTATTTCTTTTACCTAAATGGAATTAGAAATGTTTCATATCAAGCTTCCTAGTGAATAACCTCACCTGAGAAACGAATTTTAGATCAAATTTATTCTCTTATGTGTATAATGTTCATCATTGTATATTATATATTTTTTATTTTATTTAAGGTCTCCCCGATCCCTTTGCAAAGATATCTGTTGATGGCAGTGGACAGTGCCACTCTACGGAGACCGTAAAGAATACACTAGATCCAAAATGGAATTCACATTATGATTTGTATATAAGTAAAAATGATAGTATCACAATTTCAGTTTGGAATCACCGCAAAGTCCATAAAAAGCAAGGCAGCGGTTTTCTAGGATGTGTTCGTATAGTTAATAATTTAATACAAAGGCTAAAAGATACTGGGTGTAAGTATTAAATATTTTTATTTTCATTCGTAAAAAAATTTATGAGAAATATTTGTGTAATATAATTTGGCTTATTTTTTAGATCAATGTCTGGATCTAGGAAAAGCAAATGCAGAAGATGAACCAGTGAAAGGCCAAATAATAATATCTTTACTGTCTAGAGATGGCCCTTGTGGGGGAACCCCATTGGCAATTGTGGGTCCTCTAGGCGATCTTAGAGGACCCACAGACCATGAAAATTCTAATTCTAATACTACAGCAGAGCTGCCACCTGGTTGGGAAGAAAGGAGAACTCCCACCGGCCGTTTATACTATGTCAACCACATCACAAAATCGACACAATGGATTCGACCGCAAAGTAATGGAAAATTGAGAACAAACAGGCCTAGAATAAACAACAATAATTCAAATTCCAATTCTAATGTCGATAATAATAATGTGGAAACTAATAGGTCAGTATGTAAATTATTTTTGTGTATGATTTTGTTCACGATGCTCTTTCGTTTTGTTTCGCTTATTTTTGTGAATAAGATTTTCCAGTTTAATACTTTTTCTGTTTTCTTTATGATTTGTTTCCATATTGATGTTTTCGATTGTAGTGTGGGCGATATTATTACCACAATTTTTCTTTCAAAAATTCATTTTGTCATATTGAACTTTCAACATCAACCAGCGTCTTGTGACGTGCTAATCGCAGTGTTCTCTGCATTTCATGATCACGAAGACAATTAATAAATGTTTGAACGGCAAACTTTTCCAACATGTCTTCGGGAGCTATTGGATAAGCATATCGTACTAATCTGGCAATATCTACCTCATATTCTTGAAGAGCCTCATCTCTCTTTTGTCTTCGATTTTTAAGCTGTGACTGGTATACATGCTCCAAATGTTCGTGACCCTATCGCATATTTAACCTCTTCTTAAGTTGTTCGAAATCATCCCTCTCCTCTACGGCTATGGTCTGAAGCACATCTAAGGCATCTCCTCGAAGAGCGATAGTCAGGATTACAGCCTTTTCTTTTTCAGACCATCCATTCGCTCTTGCAGCTGATTCGAACTGTTTCATGTAGTTGTTCCATAACGATTTTCCGTCGAAAGTTGGGACTTTAACATGGACAACTCCACTTCCTTTAAATTTCGGCCGTATTTCCAACTTACATTTCGTCTCGTCTTCTTTTATCTCTACTGTAACTGGATTATTTTCTCTCTCCCTGTCCCTGTTTCCTTCATCTACCTTTCCGTCTCCTTCATCTTTTCTTCGAAGGCCAACATATCGGCAGTCATCGGGAGTCATTTCTACAATAAAAAGAAGAAGAAGACTTTTATTTTTTAGGTTTTTAGGTGTTAAATTAGGCGAAATTATTAATATTATATGCGCAGATGATATCGCCGAAATGGCAGAGAGTCTAGAAGACTTCAAATTCTGTTCAAAACACAGTAAACAACGAATGTAATAAAAAAGACGTAAAAAAAAACGAAATGGATGGTGGTCGGAAAAATTAATATTGAAGACTCGGTACTAAAGCGATAACAAAACCCTGGATGGATAGAACATTTTAATATCTGGGAAGAAGGATTGGCTGCAGGGTTGAGAGCGACGAGGAAATTTCGACCAGACTAGAACTGGCACGTAAAAGCTTCATTAACTGGCGTTCAGTATTATGCAATAGAAATCTCTCGTTGTAGTCGTGTCTAAGAGTACTAAAGTGCTATACCTAGTCTACTTTGCTTTGTGGTTGTGAAACTTGGATAATGAAAGTAAATAGATTGGAAGCGTTGGAGTTGTGGTTCTACGCATGTTCAAAATCCCGTGGACAGCCACAGATCCAACAAACGTGTGCTAGAAACCATGCACAAAGAGTGAGTATTGATCAACACCATCAAAATGAGAAAGGTCCGATACTTCAGTCACATAATGAGGGAACCTAAATATCGATTACTCCGGTTGAGCTTTCAGAGCAAAATAGAAGGAAACCGCTGGGTCGGAAGAAATCAACTCTCCTGACTGCGTAACATTAGACTATGGATATATCAAATGGTCGAAGAATTGTTTCATGTAGATACCGACCGAGAAGCATTCCAGCAACTTGTTAACATGATGATATCCAACGCTTGAAAGAGGCATGGCTCACAAAGATTGTGATCATATAATGGATCCTAAAATGACATTGTTGTTATAACTGTTCGTCTTTGTACCATCATTAATTTTTTTGTGTATCTGTTGCTTCAAATATTGCTCTTACATTTTCTCTATTACACCCGAGATCTATATTGATGAATAAGCTTGTCCCAACTTATTTGCATAATTACGAGTTTTCTTGTAGAATAATTTTCAATCTTCATCATTTACTCAATATTCATACCAGCAAATTTATACCGATAACTAAACAAAAATTAACATCATTTTTCGTAAACTTAATATCTGTTTTCTTATTTCATTTTGTTATCGTTTTCATAATAACCAAATATTTGTTTGCAGAAATGTTGAACTAGTAAATAACAACTCGCCGACAACTAGTACCCCCACAATAACAACAACTACCACTATAGATACACCACAATCACCAGTGACACCGTGCTCGAGCACCTCTCCCGTCGTTAGCCCTCAGAAAGAACAAGCACCGCCAATGAGGGCGATACCTACCACATCAGCAGCTACTCCCTCGCAACTAACCTTTCCAACAGTTTCTCCTACCTCTACAGCTGTAGTACCGGCGCCTAATAATATTAGTTGTAATGCACCTGCAGTACCTGTCACAACGGGTAGCACGCTGGTCACTGTGACAAATAATGGAGGGGGTGTAGTTGGTAGTCCTCAGCAGAGGGTCACAACGAGGGAAAGGAGGCCAAGGCCTAGTAACGAGGGGGAGAGAAGGGATGGAAGCAGCAGGAGAAGGCAAGGTAGAAATAGGAATTCTGTTAATGTAGTTGCATCACCTAGTAATAATAATCAAAATGGGCTGGCCGTGGCTGGGGTAAAGATGGATTTGCCTCCAGGTTATGGTAAGTCAAAAGTTTATGGCATGTAATGCCCAGACTGTATTTCTGTTTTATATGTATTTATTTATATTTCTTAGAAATATCGAATTGATTACTTTGATGTCATATGTACTAACATTTATATTAAAAAAATACCAAGATGTATATTATATATATATACACATATGTCCAAAAGTTTGGAATACGTACAGATAATACGTCTATGCCTATGGTGGTTTTAAAATTGTTGTTGATATTCATTCTAGAGCGTTTTTAAATGAAAATGATAAAAAATTTGAATCGTTTTTGTATGATTTTGGTCATATTCAACTGATTAGCGTATTTACACATTATTTCAGTCTTTGTTTAGATTTAAATTGAGTTTAAAACATTGTTGATGTTACTCAGAGTGCTGTATCGAAAATAAAAAAACAAAATCCAAGATACAAATGATGTCAAGGATCGTCCCAGAAGTGGTAGAAGTCGATGTACAACAGCAGCACAAGACTCGCAAATAACATTGATAGCTCACAGAAATCGTCTGGAATCTACAAGTGGTATATCCAGAGAAATTTTTAGGCTTCAAGTGCTGAATATTTCACGACAAACAATAACACGCAGACTAAATGTGGTAAATTTGTATCGTAGAAGACCGCTACGTGTTCCTAAACTAACCTACCAATACAAAATATTAAGGTTGCAATGGGCTAGACAAATGGTGCATCATGGTCATATCTGGAATAATGTGATGTTCTCTGATTAGTCAAAAATTGGCTTGGTATCTGATTCGCAAAGAATACTGGTTTGGAGGGCCCCAGGATGACAAGCCCGACTAGGAACAGCCCAACTGCGTGTCCCATTTGAAGGTGGCAGTATTATGGTTTACATTATGGTTTATGGACATGTCGAGTCGGCTAAAACCCACGAAGGGTTGTAACGCCACGGAGTAAGTAGTATTATGGTTTGGGGTGGCATTATGAGTAGTACACGGACGCCACTGCTGGTTCTGGAGAGAAGAGTCACTGGTGCTGTGTACATCAAGGAAGTTTTAAATCCTGTCCTACGTCTATTCCGAGGGGCAGTAGGTGATAAATTTGTGTTTATGCATGACAACGCACCTCCTCATCGAACAGCAGCAGTACAAAATTTTCTGGAAGACAAAGGAATATCTACATTACAGTGGCCCTCGAATTCCCCTGACATAAAAGTTATTGAACATGCTTGGGACATTCTCAAAGTTGGTCAAGAAGCGAAACAATCCCCTATTACACTTCGAGAACTAAAAGATGCTGCTCGTGAAGAATGGGAGAGAATTCCGCAAGCCCAGCTCGACCAGTTAATTGGCAGCATGCCAAATCGCCTACAGACATGCATATAGGCCAATGGAGGAAATACGAATTATTAGTTTTATTAAAAATTTATTTTTTTCTATACCAATTTATTTTTAAATGTAAGTTGTACATTATAAGTTTTTCACTTCAAGAGAATAAATAATTTTTTTGCATATCGTTTATCTGGTTTTGAGATTTATTTAGTATTGTTGAGAATTGAAACAAAATGATATTTAACTATTCAGAAGAGTTTATATATATAAAAATTAATAAAAATATGAAATATTCCAATATTCCAAACTTTTGGATATATATATAATATATATATATATATATATATATATATATATATAAATATATATATATATATATATATATATATATATATATATATATTGTAATTGTTTTGTTTTTATTATTTTTATGTTTTATTGTTAATAAATATAAATTTAATTGAATTGAAGTGAATTTTAAAAGTATGTAGTTCGTTGTTAATATACTATACCTCGGCTAGCTCAATTATTTGTTCTAAGCAATCTGTCACTGTGTGACGTCAACTCTGTAGTCTCCTGGTAGAGTTCAAAAAGAAATTAAACCAAAATTTACTTTATATTTTTGATAAATTAACCCAAATGAAGCACGTTATTTATTAATATTGAACAAATTTAATATAAACAATAAAATTCGTCTGCAACTTGGGTTGCCTTTAAAAATTTACAAAAATAGGAATCGTGTAAACCTTAATGTGTCGTGAAAATAGAATTTGATTACAAAATGTGGAAACTCTCTACAATTACCTTAAATCTAAATGACTATTGCAACTTTATAAAGTGTTTAAATGAAATATAAAGAAAAGAAAACTGAACACTTTATGCCGCTGACTTATAACTAGCATTAAAATATAATCAAAATTTCAAATGATCCCCAAAATTATTATCCAAACTCACTTTCAAACAGTTCTGATTTTTTTTTTTAAAGAAAACTAACTACTCGCAAAATAATCGGTGATACTGGAATATCTATCCTCTCTTCGGAAGTTAAAGGTACGTACTATTATATTTTTATTTAAATGATCATTAATATTTCAATTTTTAAGGCCTATCGCAATTAGTTAATTCATGAATTTTTACTTTTTCAATCTAAATGACATATTCTGCACTCCAATTATAATTTATAAGTCAAAATTTCTCTTACTCTCTGGAACAAATTCTGGATATCTCTATTTGAAAATGTGGAAAAACTAAATTATAATTAAACGATTTTAAAGCACTCCCGGACTATTCCACCTTTTTAGGGCTCTTCCTCCAAAATTTTCGTCGCCTCCAACAACCTATTCTTCCTTGTTAACCGCCATAGCTAGCACCAACCAAAATTATTCGTTGCTAACAGCAACCCACTTTCTTTTTTCATTCCGTCTTCTATTTTATTCAACCATAAAACTGTCCTGTTTTGACATATTTGTCAAACCACATTAATTTCTCATAAGCACTTTAATCACATCTAATTTGGGAATTTAAAAAAAAAATTCAGATATAAAACTTAACAATACTAATATAATTTATTCTTTTCATCTCCACATCATTGTAATTTATTTAACAAAACCCCTATTAATTTAGTTCCCACAGACTTTTGACAGTTTATTTTTCTGACGTTTATTTTTAAAATTTCTATGTTTAAATAATTTTTTAAGAATTCTTCTTTTTTTATTCCTTTTAAGGTTTAGACGATTCACCTATACACTAGGCAACTATACTATTCAGAAATTATTAACACTATACCAGGTAAGTCAAAATTAATTTATTTAGCAATTTACTAATCTTTTCTCCCTTTTATTTCAGAGTCGACCCCACATTGTGATGGCTTCATGAAATTCATGAACAACAAACTCATATAAAAATCCCTTTAAGTTATATCCTCTTTGACCTATTGAAATCATTTCAACTTCCCCCCAATTTGGATTTTGTTCAGTGCTAACTATCAGCACTTACTAAATCTAAATTCTTACCGATAAACTTAAACATTTTATTAATATTAACATAACAATAAACTGACTTTTATTAATAAGCATATCTCTTGAATATTTTTTTTTTTAATAATTTACTCTATGAAAAATACAGACTTCTCCAAACAAAATCTACAAATCTTTCACTAATTATATCAACTTCAGAATCAAATTTCCAAGTACTTTCCCAATTTCATTACTTCTTTTCCTGTACTATTTATTTCTCGTACTAATTTCGTAGAAATTCTTATAATTGTTCCCCTCTTTATTTTATGTTTTTATTTATTTATTTATTTCCGCATATACTATTTCAGTATCTTTATTCATTGCCGCATTATTATTTATTCTTTTTATATCCCCATATAATATTCATTTCATCATCTCTACATACAACTCTCTATATTTCATATTTCAATATTTCATATAATTCTATTTTTCATCTTATTTTCGCATATACTATTTATCATTATAATATTCCCTATTTCCCAATTTCTACAAAATATCGATTTGTCCATAGTACTTTGCTTATTTATTTATACTTGTAACTCCTATAAATCTACTTGAAAATAAATCAACCTTTTTTGTTTATATAAATTTATCATTATTCTGTACATTTGTTCCTAATAAATTATTTAATTATCAAATTTATCTCAAGATATGCTTATTTATTAATTATCCTTCTATTTACAAAACTTATATCTTATAATACCAAATTCGTGTCATAATATTGCATTATTTAAATTATTTACAATGTTTTTGTTGATTAGAGTTACTTCTGAACCTGTATCTATAATAATAACTTGTATACTGAATCTTGTATGTACCCTTCAATAAACTTTAAAGTATTAGTGTTATTGTTTTTATTTAATTCCCCAGTATCTCTAATAAACTCCCTTGGATGTTCATACTTTGATAAGTAGACAATATTATGCACATAGGAGCGGTCTAAGCAAAATTTCTCCCTTCTGCATCAACACTTGCTTCCCCCCTATTCTCCTCTGTTCTAACTACATTCACCTGTCTTCTCTCCTCATTTTCCCCCCTATTATATCTTGGATTCCCTTCTCTGTAAACTTCCCTATTTCTCGTCCTCCTGTGGATAATTTCCCTGGTTCTGTCTCCAATTATTGCCTCTGTCATTCCCTTGTCTCCAGTTATTCTCTCTATCATTGTTTGGATTCCCTTGTCTACGTTCCCAGTTATATCGTCCGATATCTCTCCTGACATTGTTCAAATTCTCTCCCCTATTTGTAAAATCCCTGCTTCTATTTTGTCTCTCAAATTCTCTTTCCCTATAATTATTCCCTCGATTCACATATCCCTGTCTATTTGCTGTGTTATTCCTATATGTCACTTGCTCTTGTCCATTTCGATTCTGCGTCCCTACACTCCTCTCAATCCTCTGAAGATATCCTGTCAAACTTTCCATCGTCTTTATATTGTGGAGAGCTATTGTTTCTGCCATGTTATGGTTATATTGCCTGGCAATGTATAGGACAATCTCCTCTTCTCGCATAGCCGGTTCTAAATATTGTGCTGTCTGGAATAACTGCATTGCGTACAGATTGTAGTTGGTACTTTTTTCATAATTGAATTTCCCAAAATACAACCGCTCCCTGAAACTAGCCTGTTGGTTTTCTCCCCAAAAATAGTTAATAAACTTGGCCTCAAATTCCTGCACATTATTTATG